AAATCAAGATGATTTCTAATACCTTGAAAAAACATGCTAAAACAGCCAGACCGTCACTATGATTAAGAGCTTTCTCCATTGACTCGTAATCTTTCTTGCGAAAGACGGCATGCATTTCCATCGAAAATCTGTGATTGTTGATTAAATGTTCGGATCCGTTGTAATCGTCCTCACCCCAATGAAAATGCAACTGTTCAAATTCGTAGACACTGTTTCCCAAGGGTCCTCCGGATAACATGACCGCTTTGGAATTGTTGATTTTCAGCATAACTGCATGGAAGAAAAAAAGAAGTACGTGACAAAGCAGTTATTAAAAATATCAGTGTGTTGTACACGTAACTATAATTATTATAAATATCTTTTTTATATAACGACATCACGTTTTAAAAGTAATTTCCGTATGAGCTTGATTATGTATAAACATGATTAAGACCATCACGGCGGGATTTAACCGCCAATAATGACATGTACGAATCGTTCGTCAGTTTTTTGCCTGACCGTTTCAATCATCTCTATTCAACGTTCATGCGTGATTTACTAGTATGTTTATTACACCCCAGGAATAATTTATATAATTACAAGGTATATGGGTTCTTTTTCCTTGTTCTCTTGTTTTCTCGTCTCGATTATGTTGCAACGACAACATAATTTTTTCTCTTTGATTCTCGTGAAAGCGATCGCGGATTCCCAGTGGTATCGCTTAATCCGAGAAAATCTCAAGCTAAGCGAGCAACCAATCGACGGATTTCTTTCTTCGACATGCCGAATGCAGAATCGAACCTTGAAATTCTCACCTGAGTGACCGTTGTTCGTCACGTATGACTGGTACGGTTTGTCAATGCCGATCAATCTCAGTGGCGGCAGCCTGACGTTCCTGACAGTGTGCATTTCTATATTAATGGGTGACTGGTGTTTTCCAAGACACGCAGGAAAATTCTTGCCCCAATGCTTCGGACCTGCGAAAAAAACAGAAATGTTTTCATTTCGAAACACATATCACTAAATTTGGGATAATATATTTATCTGTCAGACTCACCATTTTCTTTTTCGTAACCCCAATGTTCCTCGGAAAGAATCTCTAGTACAGAGAAAAAAAATATTCTTGACGTATTTAATCGCTTATCGCAATCTTAAGTAGCATCAAATTAAAACTAAATTAAGATTAAATCAATAATTC